CGCGTTTAATGATTTACTGAGGAGTCCAATAGCTGCTGTACACCAGGGGGAGGATCCTATCCAAATGGAGGGGTGTGTGAGTGTGATCCTCATCAGCAAAAAGACCTGAGACACATTCATAAATTCAGGAGGGAGACCACGGTATTTGTGGCAGTGCATAAATCTTTTGTTGCACACGAGAGTTGTGGGTAATACAGTTCCATTGTGCACAACACGTCAGACCAGATGTGTAAGTGTAATCTACAAAACCAAAGTCTTTAGTGTAAATATACCTGCAGAAACCTCGGTGTGTCCACTTCCGCTTTTCCGTGTATGCGTAAAATCTCGCAGATTAACTTTCCCTGAGTTTGGAGTGAGTTCTCTCTGAAGTTCTGCTCGTTCCGGGGCTGAAGGATTTTTTGTGCAAAATTTCCGCATCATGTGGGCCAACTAGCACCGCCCAGCCACGAAAGCCGCCGGTAGTGGTACGGAACAACACTGTGTCCGGACAATGCTCCATATAACTGTGGCAATGACTGTATGAAATTAAATAACACATAACGACATAAATTGTAATTTAAATCTAAGTAACTACGAGTATTTCCGCGGAATGAGCTAGCTTGTTAGCGCTGTTTTTAGTGTTAGCATTCCCCCCCCCCTGTATTCAAGTAAACACAAATATTTCTACAGTGTAGCATTTTACCAGCTGGCTGTGTGATTAAACTACTGTTTAATAAGCCAATAACATTGTTTGAGTAAGTTTTGTTACTTTGCAGCCATGTTGGTAACGCCGTTGGGCACTTATCTCGGGCAGATATTTTGAAACATTTGCAAAATTTACAGCACATTACAGCATACATATTTAGAAGCGCCAGTTAAATCTTAAAAACCTATTTGCTGCTTGGCGGCTTTGCCTGAAAATAAGGTTTTAAAAAGCGTCTTTTCCCGGGAAGTGTTTTTTTTTTAATATCCTAGCTCCCTCTTTGTACTAGAGCTGGGCAAATCGATTTTTGTTGTGTGAAAGTGTTGTGGAAAGTAGAAATCGAAGTGATTTAGCGTTCATTAAAATGTTGTCAGAAGTTTCAGATTGATGACGATTCATCTCAGATATCATGGCGATCTGCTCTCCCCTGATACGCTGCCTTTATATGTTAGTCAGTATCGGTATCAGCAGTACTGGCCCCGTATTTACATGGTATCGGATCGAAACCAAATTTTGCACAGCACTACTTTGCGGTCACGTGAGGTCTGCCCTTCCTCCTGTTCCCATGGCAACGGGTAACCAAACATTTCAAAGTCGGTGTCCCGTGAGCTGGAGCCAATATAAGTAGTACGCTCATTTCTTTTTAAAACCACATTAATTATTTGAGCTAGCTGGAAGTTATCCAAGAGCAAAGTATAATATTTAGAGTTTAGTATTTTTTTTAACAAATATAGTCTGTTTCACTGACCCACAGTAACCGAGAACTATGGTAAGTGTTAGGTTAAAAATAAAAAAGCTATTCTATGCTAAATCCCAGTGTTCAAATGCATGACCGTTATCTGCTGATAACTCCTGAGCGTTGTAATTACTGCCCCGCAGAGACTTGCCTCGAGCTCCACGTCATCCAGGGGCAAAATGTACCTCGGCCGGTACCGCACACTGGATTCCGGCTCTCGGGTGGATGAAGATCTGTTTGAGAACCAGAAATCGGTGAGTGTGAGTCCTTGCACACTCAGCGGGAAATGGAGGGAAACACTCAACTCTTATTATTCACAATGATATCCCCAGATATCATCAGAAACTGCATGTAGCTGCAGTGAGAACAGAGGTCGTGGATGAGTTTGGGAGCTGATTACAGCTAAATCTCTGTGTGGATGTCATTGCAGTTTGACAAACGGGTAAAATCAGCAGGTGTAGCAAAGGATTGTTCATGGAAGAACCAGGAAGGAGAGACTCTTCAAATCATCACCAAAGACCTCATCCGAAATCTGCGGTAGGCCAGCATGAAACGAGCTCATTTGAATAAAACATGAAGAGAGTCTGTAAAGTGTGTGTGCTGCTCTGTGATAAACCTCTGCCTTATTTCATGTGATTCAGGCTAATCAGATTGCTATTGCTGATGTTAATACAGTATACCAAGTTTTTGAAACATTATACCACATGTCATCATGCCAGGATCCCCCAGAGAGATCCTTCAAGAGAGTCCGTCTTACTTCCACCAGCTGAGTTTAAGAGGCTCAACTCAACATCCTGGCTGCTCCTCAAGGAGGACAGAGAGGCCCTGAGGCAGGCTTACCAGAGGAAGAAAGAAGAGGAACTTGTAGGAAAGCTGACTGCAATTTTATAACAACAACAAAGAAGTCCCCTGATTTAATTAGTATTTTTATGTACTTTTTATTCAGAAAGCTGCAGAGGAAAGGAAGCATAGGATCCATGAGGCAGACCTGTCCCGTAAGCAGAACCAGCCACTGACTGAGCTGGAGATTGAAGCCCGGGAACGTGCACAGCGCCTGGTGGAGCGGAGTAATGCTTTAAGGATGGAACAGGAAGATGAGATCAAACAGCTCAACCAGGTAGGAAGAAAGTGCAGATGTGTGGATGACCAACCTTTAAAAAATATAAACATACCAGTACACAATAATAAACCTGTGTTTGTGTGGTCGTCTCAGCTGATTTTAGGTGCTCAGTGCCAAGCAAACCGTGACTACCAGATCGAGGAGAAGAAGCAGATCCGGATGGAGTTGACAGAGGAGGAAAGGCGTCTGGACAACATGATGGAGGTGGAGCGCCGCAAGGCTCTGGAGACTCTGGACAAGATTGAAGAGCTACGCAGGCAGCAGAGAGTCAAGTAAATGGAGCCCTATCAGAAACACAATCACCCTCTATTCGCGGATTGATTTTTTTGCAATTAACGTCATTCTTCGTCTTCTTCTGTTTGGGAGATCGCAGAAATCCTAATAATGAGCAGCGGAGGTCAACTAGGAGCACTGTCAACACGTGTGTGTGTGCTTTATATTTCAGGGGAAGGCAGGAAATTTACGATCAGATCCAGAAACGCCTGGAGAACCGAGAATTGGAGGAAGGCAAGAAAGAGAAAGAGAGTCAGCAGACACGAGAGGACCAGGAGAGAATGAACCTGGAGGATCTCAAGGTGCACGCGGAGGCGGAGGACACATCCACACATGCAATTAACGTACACCGCGCTCAGTTTCTGCTCTGACCCATGTCTTCCTCCAGGTGCTGGAGAAGAAGAGGATGGAGCAACAGCTTCTGCAGGAGGAGATCAAGTGCATCAACGCAGAGACCATGCGGGCAAAGGAGCGGAGGATAGAGGAGGAGAAGCTGGCTGACATGAGAGTGAAGGAGTATCTCCTAAAAAAGCAGGTCACAGCCCACTGTTCCTTGTGGACGAGCAAGCTACATCATGTGACACACACATTTGATTCTGACGTTGTTTTTAACGTTAGCAATTCATTAAACCTGCAGGAGCAGCAGGCAGAATGCGAAGCAGAGCAAAGACGAATCAAGAAGGAGAAAGAATTGGAGATTGCTCGTTTGAGGGCTCAGCAAGAAAAAGAAAAAGACTACAAGGCTGAGCAGGTCAGGATCTAACAGATGTGCAATATATGAAGATTTGAAACCTGGCAGAAGATTTACAGATGTTCTTAGCTACTTGTGCTTGTGTATGTGTTTGTCTGGAAGGATGAGCTCCGTGCTCGCAGGAACCAGGACGCTGCAGAGAGAGAGTGGAGGAGAAAAGAGAGGGAGCGGGCTGCAAAGAAAGCGCAGCTGGAGGCGACGCTGAGATCGGCTCACATGGAGCAGGTTCACTACAAAGAGCGCAATCTGTCAGTGGAGGCGAGTCGGGAGAAGGCAGAGTTTGAGAGGCTGCTAAAGTAAGAAAGTCCGTTCGAAACCGATTTTCAAATAATCTTAATACACTCCGTTAAAAGTGCTCTCTCCACGCAGAGTGCAGCAGGAAGAGATGGTCAAAGAGCAGGTGCAAAACGACAGGCAGCGTCACAAAGTGCAGCAGCACGCGCAGGACATCCGCCAGCAGATGAAGGAACGCGAGATCTTAGCCACAGCTAAGCGCAAAGAGACCTTCAAGGAGGCCGAACGGTTGATGGAGGAAACTCGGCAGAGACGTCTGCGCCTCGATGAGCTCAAACAGAAGAAGCTCCAGGAGCTTAAGTAAGTGTGTGTGTGTGGGGGGGTTCACATAATGCAAAGTGTTTCCTCTTCATTCACCTCGCTGTGTGTTTGTAAACCACTCTGCATTTCTCCTATAGTGGCTCTTTCTCAAATAGTGTGTCTTCTCTTTCCCCTCACCCCCAGCGGGTTGCAGCACAGTTGCCCCTCCCTGAGTCTGGTTCTGCTGGAGGTTTCTTCCTGTTAAAATAAGAGTTTTTCCTCCCAAGTGCTTGATCATAGGGAGCTGTGTGATTGTAGGGTCTTTACCTAATAATGTAGAGCACCTTGAGGCTGTTGTTATGAATTACTGCCATACAAATACATTGAATTGTGCTTGTTAATCCACTACAGGGCTACAGGACTCTGTGAAAAGTACTGCAATCAGGTGGAAAGAAAGGTTCAGACCTTGACGGGCTGATCACCTGACCACTGGATTCAAACGACAACACGTGAGAAGTTCTCATCTGGTCCCGCCATTGTATTTACAGTCTAATTTAACGTGTTTCAATGTGGGTTAAAATGTAAAGGAATGTAACAATAAAGACTAATAGTTTACTAGTATGGAAAACACTGGCATTCATGTATTTGAGCTGTTAACTCTATAAATAGATTCAGCAACCATTAGAATAGCTTCTGGGTTTTTCCAAGTCTTCAAATCTCCTAACTTCTGAGGCACACCCAGTTATTCGTCACTATAAGCAGGCCCCAAATATGACAGAACCCTCTCACTTCAGAAAAGAGCCTCAAGGGTTTTCTCTGTAGTTACTGCCTATTTAAACTGATGTAGTCTGTTTTATGTATATTGAAAAAATAATCAACTTTTTTGCCATCACACACAGAGACGGGGTACAATTTTTAGTTTTTATTTAGGCTAGTAGTTCCCTTTCAATTAAGTCATATTCTTCCACTTATCGATGACAGATCCCCTTTATTAATATGCATGACAACAGAAAGGAATTCAACTTATGTCAGGGTTAGGATGACACTTTACACACACAGCTTAAAGCATGTAAGGAAGTTAAGTACATCAAGGTAAGTAACAGGCTCTTATTTCAAACCATTCTTGACAGAGAACTGGATGTATGGAGACTTAGTAAATTTCTTCATCGTAACCATCTAAACACACAACCTACAGGAGTGTTTATGGAGCTAATCGAGCTGTCGTTAAAACACTAAACGTTCCACCAGCCTGTCTTCCTCTGCCTCTTTCTTTGTTCTTGCCACTAAGCATTAACAAAGGAGGTAACAAGACAGGGGAGGGGATGGACGACAGAGAGGTGGGGGTCTCCATCTAAAAGTTTTCAATTCTTCACATCTGTACACGCGAGGAGGAAAAAGAAAAAGAGGAGAAAAAAAAAAAAGTAACGGTGACCGAGGGGAACACCACAACACCTGGCATACACGGACCTCAGCACGAAAAGGGTTCAGAGTAAATACATACACGCGGTACGGTTAAGGGCCCTGGGGTTTAGTGGCCGTGGTCCCGTCCTTGCACATACACAGATACAGTCTCACACAAGCACTGTACACAGCACAAGAGGTCACCTTAATACATGGAGCTAATGAGGGAGCGCTAATATCTAGATGGGTGGAGTGAAGAAGCTCAGTACAGGCTGAGAGAGAGGGGGGTTAAAATTCTTATTCAGACCTTTAGGTCACACACACACACACACACACACACACACACACACACACACACACACACACACACACTCCCAGTCACACAGTGACATACGTCTGTATGCATTTATAACTCCATAAAGCTACACGCCTGTGCAGAATATACTATCATTACTTAGTGTTGCTAGCTATAGCCACTGAAATGGCAATATATGTTCAATATTATATGTAACCTTTTTTCCTCAGAATATACAATGATGAAATGCATTATACAGACAAACGAGACAATGTAAGCTGTCCACATGTTCAGTACATCAAAAGTAAGAGCTCTTCTACATTAATTTCTTCATGAGTGCAAAATCCAATGCTCCTCCACCTACTTCAAAGGCTCATTGCTGAGCTTGAGCAAGTCCACTTCTCCATAAACCAATAAAAAATTTTGACATTAACAAAAAAAAACCCAAAAAACCCACACAAAAATATCTTAATAAGTAGTCATAAATATGGAATGTGGAAAAAAACAAACGTGTGGTCCAATTTCTTTCAAACAATACAAATAAAAGTCCTTCGATGCAGTTAAGTGTTTTCTCTTGGAACAGGACGACAGAATAAAAAAATAGTGCCAGAAACGAGAGTGGGCTGTTGCTTGCTTGTGGCCCCTGTTGTGAGTAGAAGACCATGGGAAGCTGGTGAGGAACACAAAGGAGGGAGAACAGATGGAAGGAAGGTGTTGGGTTGAGTTGTGGGTGGGGGAGGATGTGGGTAGTTGGGTGTTCACATGCCGTAACCGAAGGTGGTCTGTGGCGGCTGGCCGTAGTTGGGTGCTGCTGTGTAGCCGTAGCCGTAGGGCTGCTGAGGAGGCACGGGCACGTTGGGCCCTGCTGTGAGCATAAGCTGGGGTGTGCCTGCAAGACAACGCCAAGATGAGTACTTAAAAACACCACAGCTGCGATCAAACTATTAAATCTATTCTCAAAAGGCACTACGGTGATCCAGTTTTGAACATGAGGCCTTTTTTACCGTAAACAATGGGTTGAGACTCTGTAGCCTGCTCTTCCTGTTTCCTCAGAGACTCGGAGGCTTCGAGTTTGTCCACCTGTGGGGGCACACGACGACAGCGGATGTGTCACACTTCAGTTAAAGTGAAGACGACGGGGCTCTTGAAGAGCAAGGGTTTGTAAAAACTGACCTCTGGGTTATTTCACTGGCTGACGGATGGGACCATTCCTGACAGGCGAAGACGATTACAGTCCAGATTTAAATAAAAACAGGCTGCGGGAAGCAGGCCTCGCTAAGGAGCCTAAGAGGAATAACTACAACTACAGAGCTACTGGCTACTCTACCTTATGGACATCCACTTACTGTGAAACGAATTAGGGAGTAAGGAGGGGAGACAAAGACAAACAGCTACTGGGTAATAATGGTCCCACCATCCAGCCACCCAAAAACATCTACTCTAACATGTTGAACAAGTGTGAGTATGTAGAGAACCCACCCTGCACCAGTGCAAACACCCTCACATCAGGCTTTTCTTCCAGAACACTACAACTACGCAATTTCAACCATCTTACTGTCACATTTTACCTTTAACTTAACCTCATTCTTTTTAAAAAAAATCACTGTCGTATACTAACCAACCTGCTTGGATCTGTCGTCATCTTTGTTTCCTAGCTTAGCACCCAGTGTGTTCTGAAAACACAAATGCCAATCCACACCAGTAAGAACTTGGTGTTTCCAAGATTTAATACTTTTACAGGCGAAAGTGGCCATTATATACAGGCAAAATTAAATAAATGTAAAATAAGGTCAAATAAAATGAAAAGGTAAATATATATAGATTGATAACCCCTTGCTTCCTCCTTCCAATCATGCAATGAAGTGTTTTAATTCCTTTTTTGTTTTTTTACTACTCACCTGACCTTTACCAGAAAAGAGGTGTGATTGGATGAAGCCCCCCAGACTTTTCAGGCTTTAAACTACATTTTCTAAAGCCGGAAAATCAGACGTTCACTTTTGTCACTTTAATATTGTAGCTAACATGCTACATATCGTATCTCTAACTCCCCGCATGGGTGTAAACAGCTCTGTAAAACATGTAAAAGCCTTGAGATAAACTTTCTCAAACTTCCCATTATTTCTTCTTTGGTGTTTTAGCCTCAGCTCAGAAGCAGACAATGACAGTCGAAAGGACAAAAGATACAGTTGAAACAATTCAGAGAATTAAGCAGCCAGTGGGAAGCTTCAGATATTACCCTCAGTGCTCTCGGCTACGCCAGCGTGCATTGCAGTTGAGATAAGATAACTTAAACAAAAAGGGGGGTTGGATTCTCTCACGGTGGTTTTGGGTTCAGTTCTCTACATACTGTCTGGTTTACTAGTGAAAAAGAAAAACATCAGTCGATCTAGTTAAGAGGCCGTTTTAAGAAAAGTGTGCCGATTTATTAGAGACATGCTGAAGCAGCAGTTTAGTCATTTATTTCTTGAGGAGTGCATGAGAGAAAGACAGAGAAGCAGAGAGCCAAAGTGGAGGGAGTGTGAACGACAGGGTGGAGGGGATGGTACTGTACAGCCAGTTCAACGTTTCCAAGAAGCAGGCACAGCCAACAACATGTCTCTTAGCCTGGCCTGAGTGCAGCTGATGCTACCAAGGGAGGAGGAGGGAAATGCATGCTGGTCGTTTTCTACAAGTTCTGATTTTTTTCTCCCCAGTGGATACACCCGGACTACAGATTTTATTCCCTGACCCACAAAAGCAATTTGTCGCTTGAAGAGAGCTCACTTTGCAAGAATACTCAAAGAAACAGAGAAAAATACACCCTCTAAAAATGCATGTAACAGGCTAACATTTATGGTTTCTAATGCCAGTATTGTAACTATAGCACTGAAATAAGTACAGGCATACAGAAAACAACAGAAAAGAAATACTTTGTTAAAATGGAGCCTCTGTGGCTCCTCTAATGCTAATATTACACTCAGCTGCAGTCTATGCTAATGCACCACTGTTTAAACAGAACAATATCCTCCCAAGATTTGATTAAAACCAAAAAAAGGCAAACCTAGACAGTATAAACACATCTGCTTCCTGAAATAAACTTGTTAGCAGTAGAGCGCAGCTGAGCAGAGGTACGAGACAGTAAAACATGAATTAATCTACAAATCTCAGAAAAAGGACCTGACCCACAGCAGGTGAGGGGAGGCTAAGCAGAGTGGCACTGTTCACCCACGGCCGAGGAGAGCTGATAAGCATGCTGGCTTCAGTCGAGGGCTCGGTTGCACGTCTGACACAAATATGTGAAAGGGCTTTCTCTAAGAGGCAGACTTACAAAGACCAACTGAGAGACTCTGAAGCTGCTTTCAGCTGCGGCAGGTGGCCGTTACCGTTGCACTGCTATAACAGATCTTCAAAAAAATGACTGTGGAAGTGTCATAAAGTCTCAGGAGCTGAATCAGCAATTAATCTGAGTTTAGCTGTCAGCTACGTGTCCAATTCACCAATCAGTTCTGTGATTCCTGGCCTGAGGCAAAACTCAAGCTGTCACGGACACACCAGCAAGCCGATCAGGGCTCTTGATGGGCGTGAAGAGCCCCGCTCTGGAGTCTCGTGGGTTGGTAGGTGGTCTAGTGGAGATGTGGAATTTACAGTCAGAAGCAGCAGAGAGTGACATGGGAGAGGGGACGGGAGGGGAGGGAACATGCAGTTTGTACTAGTTTTACTGCTCCAAACTACAGGCTACAGGACAGGGGACAGGGTCAAAAAGAATGATTAGAAAATGGATTGGACTTTCACCTTTTCCTTTATCGCATCAACCTGGAAAGGAAATTCAGAGAGGCAACTTAGGGAGGAAAAAACAAATGGGAGTCTCCCAAAATAGAAAGTGACAGAGAGAAAGAGAGAGAGAGAGCAAACAGAGGACTTGTCACTTAAAGAAGAAATATAAAAATCCTACGAGTGATGCGGGTAATTAATGCCACTTTTGATACAAATGCACACTTGAGATCAAACCTGCTACGGTGAACTTGCGCCTCACTTTTTAGACTAGTATAAACAACATGGCTCCTCTATGTCGCTAAAAAAGACCCAGATATACACAATCCCTTCATTTAACGTGACACAATCACTTTGTTTCTTGAACAGCTTAAATAACAGACTGAAGTATTTTGAATTTATCATCAAAAACTGGAACATAAATGTGTAAATGCTTCACTCGGGTTTGCGCGCTGTTATGAAAGAATCAGGTGTTTCTCTTTCGTGTGGGCTTTGCTTGCCATGTAACAGAGATAAATGGCGTAATGAGTCACACAGCAGTTATGAATCTCCTCCGTAACACATTTGTATGGAAAAGCAGCTTGAATAGATGGAAACCCAAATGAAAAAAGGAAAACACCAGTGATGACACATGGTGACTGACAGATGCAAAGGACGATGAACATGAATGAAGGAAAGAACTGGCAGTACTGGGAGGTGGGGGCTTTAACTGTGCATCACTGTTGAGAGTCCAACAGTATTTGCAAACACATTTTAGCTGCTGCTACTGTTTCTTGTAACAGATGGATGGAAATCCTGGGCACTGATCAGAAAAAAGGTTTCTTAAGATTTTTCTTAGTCTTCCAAAGATGGCTGAAGGGACGATGGGACTAATTTAAGTCTTTAAATCTAACAGCAGAAGAAACATCTCTGCATGTCCTTATACAGTTGTGGTCAGAGGTTTGGACACACACAAACACTCACCATGGCCATGAATGTCATGGTTACTTTGGGCTTATAATGTTCTTTTTCTAGGGTGGAATGATTGTACAGCATACATCTTTAATGATTTTAAAAGACAAGGGTCTGGTGCACAAGTTTGAATTTATTTATGATCTTCTGCTATTTAGACAGAATCAAAAATGCACATAAATCTGATCCACAGTATCTTTTAACTTGACAAGACTTATTAACTTCTCATTAGTGATCAGAATTGACTACAACTGGTTGTTTCTCTTTACCAGCATGAAAAGGATTTGTTTGACAGCACTCACTGGAAGACCCAAGCTGTCACCCTCAGATGAGAGGAAATGGGTTAGGATGTTCAGGAACAACCCAGGAACCACCATGAGGCTTAAGCCTGTCATGAGCTGGAAACTGCTGGAACACCAGTAACACTTGTTACTGTGAAGCAAGTTTAACATCACCATGGACAGAGAGTGCTGACCAAAAAAGAAGTCCCTGCTCCAAAATAAACACCTTCAAGTGGAGTAATTTACAGCCTACCACATGAACAAGACAAATGCTTTCGTTGGAGAAGTAAAGGTGAGGGTTTTAAACATAAGTACCAGCTGTCAACCATGGTGGTGGCGGCATCATGCTCTGGGGCTGTTTTGATGCCAGTAGTACTGGTACATTGCACAACGTGTATGGAATAATGTAGGAGGAGGATTATCTCCAAGTTCTTCAACTTCATCTTAAATCAGCTACACATTTGAAACTTGGACAGAATTACACGTTCTAACAGGAAAATGATCCTAAAAATACATCAGAACTGTTTTTGGAATGAATAAAGCAGACTTAAAATACGTTTCTAGAATAGCCTTTCCAAAGCCCCGACCTCAATCCTATTTATAATTTGTGGAATACACATAAAAGCCAACTAATTTAAATGAATTCTTCCAATTCTGTTAAGAGTGGTCAAATATCCAGCCAGAATTATAATGAAAGCTTATTGATGGCTACCAAAAGCATCTGGTCGATGCTTGCTAAGGGACATTTAACTAAATATAAGTGGGGATCTATGTATATATGGTACCCTGTATTTACCTTTGTGTCTGTGTGGATTAGAGAAAATATAAAATAAATTCAAACGTATGCAGCCAATTCTTGTTTTAAAAAATATTAAAGACGTATGCTGTACAATCATTTAACCCTGGAAAGCGAACGCCTCAAAGAAATCACTTAGCTGCAATGACATTCATACCCATGATGAGTGTATCTAAACTTTTGACCTTACAATTATAAATTGGGTTTGTAACATGAGATGTTTTTCTCTCTTTAGAGGCCATATCATAAAGTCATTTACTTTGTCCTAATCCTCATTACCTCTGGCCAACCCACCTTAGTGAGATATTCCCTCATGACCTGGATGAAGTACGGCATGGAGAAGTCCATGATGTTGTGTCGCCAGGCAGTCTCCAGTACTACGTCGGGCCGCAGCAGGTCGTAGCAGGTGAATAGGCAGGCAGCAAAACACTCTTTCTTGTCTTCCTTCAAGAACCAAGCCAGGAGCTCTTCTGCCAGCTCAGTGTCTTTGGACTCTGATGCGTACTGCATGGCATCCTGCAGGAAAAAAAAGCCAGGTCAACAAACTGACACACCTAATCGTTTGTTTCCACGCTCAAATGTAAATTTTATATTTACATTGCTTTTAGGAATGTACTTTTCTTCTGCAACTCATTTGTTAATTTTGTACCCACGCACCTTGTAGAGCTTGTCCTTCTTGCAGAGCTCGACACTCTGTTTCCAGCGGTTGTTGCCTTTAAAAAGATAGGCTGCGATCCTCCTGAATTCAATCAGCTCGTGCTTCTCCAGGCTCTGGGCGAGCGAGATGTTGTCGAAGTTGTCATAAGCGTCGATGGAAGTGCGCAGCGCCTGAGTAACACGAGAAACAATTGTGAGATTAGGCTGAGAAAGCAAGATGCGGAACAACTGCAACGTTTTAAATGTGTGCTTGCTGGAATTAACAATAACAAAGAGTTTCTCTTGTAATCAAACATCAGAGCACAGCACATGTTATAAGACCCAACTGACAAAATGAAACCATACCGCATAGTCTTCTTCATTGATGAAGAGGTTGTTAAGTGCTTCATTCACCGACTTGTTGTTGTGATTCTGGACAGACCTTAGGTAAGGCTTAACCAGAGGCAGCTGTTTCACCTGAACAGACAGAAATGTTTATCAGTTTTCAGTCTGGCAAAAGTCTTGATCTTTTGATTTGAACCAAAGAAACAGTCAAAGAAAATCATACTGACCTTGCTGAAGAAGTTGACAGCACGTGTGTGATCCAGTCTTGGAGAGAGGACAATAAGGAGGTCATTCAGCAGCAGTGGTTTAAACTCGAGATAAAACTGGACGGCCTTGTAGTACAGCTCAACATTAGCCACCTATGACAAACATAATGAAGTTAAACAAGTTTTTTGGAAAAAAAAGGGCAGCTCTGTGCTGTATTCCTGTCAAGAGAAGTAATTGTTAGCACTACCATATGCATTTAAATTATGTTTTGCACCTTAGTGACAATGTCTTTGAACTGGCTTTCCTTCCAGGCATCAGCTGGGTGATTCATCATAGTGATGATGGCATTGTCATATTCCTCATACTTGTCATAGAGGAACACAAGTTCTCCCCAGAGGTGGGCCTGCTCAGCTGCCCTGAGAACCTGACACACAAACAGACATCAAGTCAAATTTAACAATTTAACAATTGAAAACGAATGCGGGTTTATAGACGTTACTGAAGATGTCAAAGTTGTAGTTGCTGTTCCTCTGAGGAGTTTATTTACTTTACTTCTTTTTAAATCCTAATTCTTTAGATATAGTTTTGTTAAAATGTTTAAAACAATCACATTATACTGAACTGCAGTCGCAGTCGGTGTATTGTGATGCATTTCGTCAGATTCCTGCCAAAATCTGCTTGGCTGTAAAGCTCATACTAAATCCGTTTCTCACACCCACCTTTGGAATGTTAACACGGGACCAGAAGAGCTCCAGGTGTTCCCTCATCTTCTGGGGTTTGAATTTGGAGTAGAGGATAGCCAGCTCAGTGAACATGCCCATGTGAGCACGCTCCAACCCAAGGGCAGCCTCTAGCATGGTGATCAGCTCCTCGAAGTAACCACGGTCCTGGAGGATACAGACAGACTTAGTGACACAACTATAACCCTTAATCTCGCTCCCCTACACAATCTGGGAAGTTATTTTGAGGCCCTTGAACCATCATAAACAAAACTCAAGTCTGTAGATACAGTGCGCTGAGGCGCAGGAAAACAATATACCATCTGTAAGCTGGAGAAAACTGGAAACCCTGCTATCCTCAGGCTTATATGACTGTTGACTGTTATTTATGCCAGATTAGTGATAGTATACATGCTCACCTACTTATCATTCATTGAAAGACCATGGTGTTTGGCCAACAGGTACCCCACATACCTGGTAGTAGTTGATGAGCTCCTCCAGTTCATCAGCGTGGACAACAATATGCAGGCCACACATCTGGGCAAGACGGAACTCCTTCCCATCTACACAAGCAAAACACACCTGACAGAGGAAAAAACAAAAAACAGCTGTTAAAATTAGTCAGTCGAGTGAGTTTGTGTTTTGAACATAAGGCTTGAACTTGATCTCACTCTTTATACTTTCAAAAATGAAACTGATCTCCTTCACCTCCTTCCAGGTACGGGTGCTGTTAGCCTTGCGGGCTCCGTCCACAGCTGCCTGGTATTCTCCCAGGTGAACCAGAGTTGAGGCCAGACGGCCAAAGTTTGACACATTATTGTAAAGCAGTTTGGCTGCCTCGTACATCTTGTCGTCATAGCATCGATCACCCACCTAATGGAAGATGAACAAATTAAGTTAGACCAGCGAAGCAGCTGTAATTGTAAACAGGGGTAAAGAATTAACTGGGAACTGCTGTATGTACAACTGCGTGTGTGTGTGTGTGTGTGTCAGGACCTACTTGCTGAATGTGAGCATTATTGGGTCCGTTGATGAACTCTTCCAGCTCGGCCAAGCGGTTGGTCTTGGCCAGGGCGAAGATCAACTCTGTCTCAACATATGACTCGCGGGCTTTCTTTCGAGCCATCTGCAGGAACTTCACCAGGTCCTCCCAGTTTCCTGCACACAAAAATTAACTACCATAAGCACCTATCTACTGCATATTTAACATTACGCCATTTAAGTATCTTGATTAAATAAAACAATAAGGTAAGTGATAAAGATCTTAGATCTTAGTTTTAAAAACTGGAAGAGATCATCTTACCGCTTTGGGCTGCAGCTTGTCCCACCTCCATGTAGGCCGAGGGATCATCAGCCTTAATGTAAGAGTCGATGGCTTCTTTCACCAAGCCCTTCTGAAGCTGCGCCTTTGCCAGCTGACTCCAAACTGGGGGCTCATTGCAGCGCTCAGCGAATTCATAAGCTCTGTCCAGGTTGCCGATGTGTTCGATCAGGACCTGGACAGCAGCAAACATTCAGATCGCTGAATATCAAAATGACCGGCAAAACTCTGAGGGCTGTTAGCACGCTCTGAATTAAGACAAAAACAAGGTGTTTAAAAACTTTAAACAAGTTGTAGTTAATAACGAAAGCGCGCACCTGCACAGCAGAAGTGTTGACATCAAATTTTCTAAATATAGCAAAGGCCTCCTCAAACAGCTCATTGCTGATGGCAATGTTTGCAATGTCTGGGGCGTCGTAGTTGTCCAGACGGTTAATGTACTCCATGACGCGTGTCCGATCAGCTTTAATGGCAGTCAGAATGAGGAGATTCTGAAGGTTTCTGAAATCAACAAGATACAAGCTTTTCACTAAATGCATTATTGAATATATCGAATGCTTTGCAAGCTCAATGTTCGTCAACTGGAACAACAACTATGAGCAGGGGACTCAGTGATGTCTAAATCTTGGATATGAAGGGTTAAATAAAAGAAGAACAACATTAAATACAGGTAAGACTCTTACCTGTGTTCACTAAAGACAGAATTATCCAGCACAATCTTTTCCAGAAGCTCGATGAGCTCGTTAGGAAGGTCGGCGGTCATGAAGGCCTTGACTGTGACAGACACCTCCTCTGGATCCTGGGTCTCTGATAAGGCTGTCTGGACGACCTGCAGCAGAGACCGACGACAAACATGACGCATAACAGCTGATGATTGGTTTACAGTATGCAAGCTAACGAAGCGTTACAGCCTGGGAACTTTTAACAATACACTAGTTTAAGTGGCATGATTTAGTATCAGAGATAGTAAAAAGTCACACCTGGTCAATGAGTGGTCTTCTGTAATGGTTGGTCTCCAACAGCACACTTGCCCACAGCTCTGGGTTCTTGCGGCGTACAAGGTAGCGGGACAGACTCTTGAACAGTGAGTTCTCATTGCACACCTGAAGCAGAACGAAAATATTTGAAATAAAAGGCCAATAAAAACCTCGTATTACTAATGACCCAGAATTTCGCCTTCCAGTTAAAATGATTTGTTTTTAAACTCACGTGAATGAGTTCTTGGTCACACTGTCCTCTTTCATAAGCCACGCAAGCCAGGTGGGGGTCTCTCTTTTCACAGTACTTGCCCACCACGCGGCTATCATAGTAGGGATTCTCCCTCAAGAAACGCTCGGGGTTGTTGTTGCTGTCGATGTAGATCTTGGCCAAGGCGTTGTGGGTTGCAGGCTCCTCACAGCCTTCATGAATACGAGCCTCCAACCAAGGCAGCAACAACTTCAAGCTGGAGAAGGAGGCACAGTAAATGTGTCACAAGCTTTGACAGAATATCATGAAGGGAAAGGACCAGTTTAACACACAGGTCGAGTTAGACCGCCGAGCGAGCGATTCCTCTTTTGCGGTGCACTTTTAACAGTTCTTTTGGTTCTCACCGATTTCTTTTCTCCACTTCAGCGACCAGTTCATCTGTGGAGAACTGTCCTCTCACCACCATGATCAGGTTCTTAATTACATCTTCGGCACAGTCCACATCCAATAATCCACCAATGACTACTGGCAGACGGCTCGGGTTCACCTGGAATAAATGACAACAGAATTATGACACGTTTCCATCAAGGTAAAAACAAATGCACAACCACAGAGGTAGACCAATACCGAGAGAGAATAAATGAGTAAAAGGATGGAGTTTTATTAATGTACCTTCTGTACATAGATCTCTATGTATTTCTGTAGGCTGTTGCGGTACAGGTACAGGACCAGATCGTGGACGAAATCAAAGCGGTCACACACGATGATCAATGGCAGCTGGTCGGTAAGCTTGGCTTCCTGGAAAAAACACAATAAAATGTTGACAGACAGAAAAATCACAGGTTTATTTTGCAGATAACCGTTTTCTGCACGGACCTTGAGGAAGTTCTTCACACGTTCGGGGTCGTAGCAATTGCTTTCTCTGCAGATTCTCTCCACCTCTTTGATTTGGCCTGTTTTGCACGCAGCCTGAATGTATTTGAAGTGAACTTCAGGATCCTGGCTGAAGTTCACAATTGAGCCCAAGAAATAGAACAAACCTTCAAAGCAAAAAAACTCAGAATTAGCAAAAGTAGTAAAACAAAAGATACGTTGGGTTTTGTTTTTTTGCACCTTCCCCACTAACCCTCAAAGCTCTTGAATGACTCAAACAGTTCAGTGAGGGATTGAGTAGTAAGCTGCTCGTGGTACTTGGAGGCGACCTGCACGCAGATCTGCAGGTTCTGCCGGATGTTGGCAGATAACATGGCCCTCAGACACTCCAAGGAATCCTCCACAGACAGGGAGCCAAAGAAATTCACCAACCACTGAAGAGATAAATAGAAAATCATCAGCGACACAAAGACAATCACTGCAAACCACAACAGCAATTTTATATTCTCGATCTGTGTCGTACCTCTGGGTTGAGAAGGTGTGTATGCACCACTGCTCGTTTAATATCATACAAGTCAGTGTAATGCTCCAGCGCTCTCTGCAGGAGGCCTGCTTTCTCACACAGTTGGGCCACATGAGCGCGATCATAGTGGGTGAACATCTGGTTACCCAGAATGGCATCTGCAACCTGCAACAAATGGCACACAGACAGGCCCTGTCACACACAGACACTCAAATCCAAACATGTCTGTAAACAGCAAAAGATTTGATCTGTTGTGAAAGAAGTTGGGGAAAGAAAGCTAGAGCGCCGTTTTAGTTTAGGTGAGACCTACTGGTCACTGGTAAATGAAATAATCTGGCCTGTCTGGACCTGATGTACAGTGGGGCAAAAAAGTATTTAGTCAGCCACCGATTGTGCAAGTTCCCCCACTTAAATGATGACAGAGGTCAGTAATTGCACCAGAGGTACACTTCAACTGTGAGAGACAGAATGTGAAAAAAAAATCCATGAATCCACATGGTAGGATTGTAAAGAATTATTCGTAAATTAGGTGGAAAATAAGTATTTGGTCACCTCAAACAAGGAAATCTCTGGCTCTCACAGACCTGTAACGTCTTCTGTAAGAAGCTTTCTGTCCCCACTCGTTACTGTATGAATGGCACCTGTTTGAACTCATCATCTGTATAAAAGACACCTGTCCACAGCCTCAAACAGTCAGACTCCAAACTCCGCCATGGCCAAGACCAAAGAGCTTTCGAAGGACACCAGGAAAAGTATTGTAGACCTGCACCAGACTGGGAAGAGTGAATCTACAATAGGCAAGCAGCTTGGTGTGAAAAAATCAACTGTGGGAGCAATCAGCAGAAAATGGAAGACATACAAGACCACTGATAATCTCCCTCGATCTGGGGCTCCACGCAAGATCTCATCCCGTGGGGTCAAAATGATCATGAGAACGGTGAGCAAAGATCCCAGAACCACACGGGGGGACCTGGTGAATGACCTGCAGAGAGCTGGGACCAAAGTAACAAAGGTCACCATCAGTAACACACTACAACAGCAGGGAATCAAATCCAGCAGTGCCAGACGTGTTCCGCTGCTGCAGCCAGTGCATGTCCAGGCCCGTCTGAAGTTTGCCAGAGAGCACATGGATGATACAGCAGAGGATTGGGAGAATGTCATGTGGTCAGATGAAACCAAAGTAGAACTTTTTGGTATAAACTCAACTCGTCGTGTTTGGAGGACGAAGAATACTGAGTTGCATCCCAAGAACACCATACCTACTGTGAAGCATGGGGGTGGAAACATCATGCTATGGGCTGTTTTTCTGCCAAGGGACAGGACGACTGATCCGTGTTAAGGACAGAATGAATGGGCCATGTATCGTGAGATTTGAGCCAAAACCTCCTTCCATCAGTGAGAACTTTGAAGATGAAACGAGGCTGGTCTTCCAACATGACAATGATCCAAAACACACCGCCCGGCAACAAAGGAGTGGCTCCGTAAGAAGCATTGAAAGTCCTGGAGTGCCTAGCCAGTCTCCAGACCTCAACCCCATAGAAAATCTGTGGCGGAGTTGAAAGTCCGTGTTACTCGGCGACAGCCCAAACATCACTGCTCTCGAGAAGATCTGCATGGAGGAATGGCCAAAATACCAGCTACTGTGTGTGCAAACCTGGTAAAGACCTATAGTAAACGTTTGACCTCTGTTATTGCCAACAAAGGTTATGTTACAAAGTATTGAGTTGTATTTTTGTTATTGACCAAATACTTATTTTCCACCCTGATTTACGAATAAATTCTTTACAAATCCTACCATGTGGATTCATGGATTTTTTTTTTTTCACATTCTGTCTCTCACAGTTGAAGTGTACCTCTGGTGCAAATTACTGACCTCTGTCATCATTTTAGGTGGGGGAACTTGCACAATCGGTGGCTGACTAAATACTTTTTTGCCCCACTGTATCTACATGTTCATGTACCTGTGGTGCATGGACCAAATTCATTTCCAGCAGGCGCGTCTGCAGTGGTCCCTCCATGGGTCTGTTGTTCTTCAGGGCATCTAGTAGGAAGGACGTGCACTGCTGGATCAGGTTGTACTCCATGAATACGTCAACAATCTGGAAAATTAAATAACAGAGAAACCGCAAAAGTTAAACTCTCAAAATCTTGGTTGTGTTGCTACACATCACAGAGGTGTGGGATATTTTTGCAATCATGTGCTCAGCTACAACTGTGAGAATAACTACGATTCAGATCATAGTCATAGTATCTTTTAGCCACGTTACCCCCCAAAAATCTTTATTTTTACCTGTGTAATGTCAGCCAGTGGCTCTTCATCCTGAACCAGCATCTGAGAGAACTGAAGACCTTGCTCTGGACTGATCCGCATTACGTTCCTTAGCAAAAAGATCCAGTCTGGAGTGTAGCCAACCTACAAGGATGACAGACATGTAAGGATGTATGAGATGCTCCCCATCTGTGATGTAGGTGTATTAAAAAACAAAACAAAACACTGTGAACCATATTACAGCCCAAGATATTTTATTTACCAAGTCAGTCATCACAAACCTTCTTGGCATAGAGAACAATCTTCTGGAATTGGCCAGTCTCTGCAAAGCACTGAATGACCTTATTGGGAACATTGGCTCTGAGGTAGACGCTGAGGGCGAGAGTTGGATCTACAGACTTCACCAAGTCTCCGAGCTCCTCAGAACATTCCAGCTGTAAACACAAACAGAAGGGTTAGAAACTATAACAGTGATCTGCCATGGTACAGTGGAAAAAACAAAAACAAAAAAAGGGAATCTGGGTTTCACTGGCCTACGTGATCTTCTGCTTTATACTAAATGATTTATGTGATTCAGTGAGTCAGAGTAGCACTCTGATTTTACATGGTCTCAGTTTTTTTTTTTACTCTATGATATGATAGATGAACTTGAGATATAAATATTTAAAGACTGTCCACTTTAAAACCAACCACTAAACACATACCTTATCCTCTTTTAGCCATTTCTCCAGTAGCTGCTTTCGGCCCTGCTGAAGGACAGGCCTGCAGAGCTCCAGAGACTCAAACTTATTAAGTTGGCCTTGATCCAGCAAGATGCCAAAGTACTGAAGCAAGGGAGACGTCTGGCCTGGTTGGGCGGGAACACTTTGGAACCTACGGATGGTGTCTGGTGTTCGCAGAATACCCTGGAGAGGTAGGATGGAAACTTCTTAGCCCATTGAAAATACAAAAAGGTAAAATACGGGAAAAAGGAATAAAAGCAGCGCGCGGGCTGTACTCCCTTTAAACAATTTTGGAAGCATTATCTAAACTTGTTTTTACAAATTTTCTTTGGTTTTCATAGTTATATAAGCTACTGAAATCTTAGACTCACAGTCTCAGTGCACAGAAGCACAATGGCAGTACCTTGGGTGCATTCGCTGCCACCTTTGCAGCCTCTGAGTAATTTCCTGCTGCAAAAAGGGTGTTGAACTTGCGAGCAAACAGCTCCTCAGCACCAGCGAGGTTGTTGCGGACAGCCATTCGGAGTGCAAGGTCTGGATTCTGGAGCACATTGGTGATGTATGGAATGATGTTTTCCTCCTCCACGCATACAGACAACACCTGGAAAATCAAATGTGCACATAAACGCATGTGTAATTGGTAACACCTAACTGCCTTTACAGTTAGTTAGAAGCTGTTCATACTTTTTAAACAGCTGTTGTCTTTGCTAGCTATTTAACACTGATATTTGTGCTGTGGCGTATGCTAGCTGTACTGGTGGTAATTGCCCGCCTGACAGAATTAGAACTGAACCGCGACAAAACACATTCACTGTGACTTTTAAAGGCGTTTAAATGTTACTGACTGTCACCAATGACAGGGGACCTGTATCCACTGCACTGTTCTTGCTGTTCTAATCACATGATGCAAAAATGTATACAAAGACAACAATTATTCATTCACAATCAATTCCCTCTCATTTAGGAAAAACACCACAGCACTCAATAGTTTGTAAAGTCTTAACTATCTCTAAAACTAATAATGACACACTTACAAAATTAAGCTGGCACATAACATGATGGGAAATCCTACAGCTGGAGGCTGAGAAAAGTAAAGACACATGGAGGTGACGCGAACAGCGATGCTCCAAAAAAACCCTTCAGACCAAGAAAGGAGCTGTGTTTGGTGTTTGGATGCTTTTCGGTTTTACAAAATGAGACTCCTTCTGCTTAATATCCCTTCACACTCCTTTATCACAAGGGGGTCATCTGATTTTAAGGGTCCCCTCTAGTTATTATTGTAAGCATCATTACCTTACAATAGTGTTCCCCAACCCCCTGGCCATGGACCGGTACCGGTCCATGAGTTGTTAGGTTGAGGCTCGGGTGTGAAATTTATGGTTATCATTGACTTGGTTTCCCTGGGGCTTTTCCCGTGTTGTAGTTGTGTCTTATTTTGAAAGAAATATTTACTCGTTACCATAGCGACCAGAGAGCATTAAAAGGCAGAGAGGAGGACGTTACTCTCAATGTTGTTGGTGCATTTCAGGAGTACGCTGCTAATAAAGTTACACAATTACACAGTAAATTCACATTTATTATATTTAAGATCCAGTTGTGTTTGGTATCATTTTATTTTGTTGTTTATCCGCGACACCTTAAAGGCCGGTCCGTGAAAATATTGTCTGACATTAAACCGGTCCGTGGCGCAAAAAAGATTGGGGACCGCTGAATTATAACAACAATCATCTTTAGGTGATTGTTGTTGTGATTTGCGTTATATAAATAAAACTAAGTTGAAATTCATCTTCTTCAACTTTCAGTGCAGCAGGGCTCAGGGAGCTAGGTGAGGCTGAGATGACGTATTACTCTGGCCTAACAGGTGTTATTCCTGGTGACAGATTAACTGTAACATGCCACATGTTGACTTTGTTTTTAAAACACCGGGAACCAAAAGTGCCATTATATTTAAGCTAAAAGCATAACAGGCAGTGTTATTTATGTTTCGTTTTCCTTTCATTAGGATCACATTAAACTGTCTTTATATTCTGTACACTCCTGAAAGACTAATGAACCTATATAAAAGATTCACATCATACATTCAAAAGAATCTAAATAATAAATACTATGATGCTGCAAAACTGGCAGAATATTTTTTTTAAAAAGTTCTTGGTTCATGTCAAACTGTATCCAGCTACAACACCTTCCAACAAAAGTCCACCAAAATGTAAATGCAGTTTGGTGTACAGTGATATAAAGACACAAAAAGAGACAGGCACATATTTGACACAAAATTGAGAATAACTGCTGGCAAACCTGGGTTTGAAATTAAGTTCACTGTAAAAATCTGAGTTAAAAGAACTGCATTATGAGACCTGCACTTGTCACGTTTCTGAATTACATGCAGGGATTACCACAAGCTGTCGTGTACATAGTTACACACACAGTTGCACATGAAATGTGTGTGCGTGCGTGTAGCACACTGGCCTGTGTACAGCAGACCCGCAGGTGAGAGCCAAGAGCAATAACAGGATTAGACTGCGTAGTCTGCCTGGCCAAGCTGAGGCCACCTGCTGTTAGTGTCACATGCTGCCTGACACTGAAGATGCTGCCACTGCCTGATATTTTCAGAGATTTCCTCAGTCAAGGTCACACCCAAGGCTCCACGCTGACATACCAGGGCCAACACACCACAGGGAAAGTAGTCCACTACACATGTGTGCAGACTGGTTTAAAAATATACATCAGGTTTGGAAAATATCTTTAAGCAATTTTCAAAAACAATATGTAGTCACAAATATTAAAATAAAATTGGAATCTGATAAGAAATATATTAATTTTATCTGTCACATATTTAAAACATCTACCAAAAACATTATTCAACTCATTTTGCATCCAAAATTAAACACAGTTTAACCTGTTCACTTGCACAAAGGCCCAGATGAAATATCTATACTAAGCTTGGCTCTGTGCTCCACTGGAAATTAATAAGCGGCTCATTCATCATTGCATTCTAGACTTGCTACTGCAAAATATACTCCACAAGTGTACATTTGAGTACCTGTCCTTTCCTGTTGACTCCAATGATTCCAGCAGTAGGTTCATGGGGGGCAGTGACAAAAATGGTCTCTCCGCTGATCCTGTTCATGTAGATACAGGTTCCAGTTTCCAAGTCATATAGGTGGATGTAGCCATATTTGGTGATGAGAAAGACTACATCTTGCTTGGAACTGATCTAGATGTACAGAAAGGGGAAGGGAGATATAACATGTATAGATAGGAGGACTCTTTAGCAGGATACCAAACTAAATACTAAATAAACAAAGCCTCAGATTAAAGAAGAGGGAGGTTTTGTACCTGCATGGCCACAGGGAAGTCATTCTGGGCTTCTGGAGGAAAGAAAACATCCACAGCTTTCTTTGGAAACGGCTGGTTCCCAGTTGGTGGAGTCCCCACTTCAATAATATGGAGCTAGGGGAGAAAAAAGTAATGAAAACAAAAAGAAGACAAAGCAAGACCCCAAATGCCTTTTTCTAATCAGTATTAATTTCCACTAAAATTACTTCATCCCGATCTTTTTATTTTGCAGCTACGAGGCTTTGAGCTTCTCTTAATAAGTATAAATCTTACTTTTCCTCCCGCCTGTCCCCGCACGGCAAAGCAGAACAGAGTCGATTCCTCCGTGTTGCCTTCCATCTTGAACTGTGCAAATCCAGCAGCATGTCCTTCAATAGGCTGAGAAACCTTTCTGTCCACCGAGTACAACTGCATGGCTCCAACGACACGGTTTTGCTGAGGAGGAGAGAACGCCCACAAATCAGACTAAAGTCTGTGATGGGGTTTTTTCTGCTATAAATTCTGCTATATCATAAACTTACCCTGCAATGACTAATACAAATGTGATGCATTTCACACACACTGACATCATTTTAATATTTTGTCTGAAATATTATTTTGATTGTAATATTACGAAGCTAAAGCAAACTGTGTTAATTCACCTGTGCAGAAATGCCAATGAGCAGCAACCACTTCTGTTTGGCATCAGTGCGGTAGTTGATGATCTGGCAGCCTGCCAGGCTGGAGTGACGGTCAAATACTTTGATTGGCTGAGAGTCACCCTCCATGCTCCAATGGTAGACCGCGTTGTCTGTGACCAGGGCGACAGTGTTGAGGGAGATCCACTTCCAGAAGGTCACGTCATCCGTCATCGTGTGAGCCTTCATCTTGCTCTTCATCTCAATGTTAAAGATCTGCAGGGTCTTTGCAGCTGAAAATATTTAGAGCTGAGGTTAACACGTTAGCCGTGCTGGGACGCTGCTAGCCCACCCCCTCCAAAATTTTTAGATTGTAACATTTAAAACGAGGAAGAAAGAAAGAAAACTTGAATCGGTCTACTGACTAAAGCTACGGCACACAACCCACAGCAGAGTTTGGGAGGAAATCAATTGGGCATACCTCTTCCAATTGCGGGGGAAATGCAGGTAATCGGGGAGGGTTTTGTTTTTTTTTTGGTTTTTGTGTGTGTAACACCGACAGACCATACAAAAAGCCAGTACCAGTGTCAACAAAAAAGGGGCAAGACCAACAAAAGGGCAACCACTTAAAATGTTGGATCTGCATTCAGTAACATCTGATGCAATAAACTGTTACGTGTTCAGCTGCGTCTAACTATACAACCCTCTTGTGATAATATAAAATCATTCACCAATTAATTACTCTTCTTTTTATTAGAGAAACTCAGACTGTGCTTAGCACTGCATCAAAGAAATACAGCTCCCACATTCATTTCAGTGAGGTCGGCACAGCAAGAGGTAGCCAAGATTGCAAAGAAACTAAATGAGGTGTGCCACACTGTTGGCTAAATATCCATAGAAACAAACAGATTCATTTGCAGTGGCAATGGAGGATTGGAATAACCCAATCCCTTATCATAAAAAGCTTTAAACTCACAGATCTATCAGTCAGATTGGTCTTCTTCCAATTAGACTAGAACCAGTGTATAGGCCTGTATGTTGCTTAATATCTGTTGGCAAGAAAACTGATACCCAAATTTTTCATTCTATTCCCTTGAAACTGGTACTGACCCCCAAATTTCATTATCAGTTACTCTTATTAGCATTCTGATGCAGTTGCAGGTGGTTGCATTTTTTAATGCAGTACTGGAGCTTGATTGGAAATAGCACCAATTAGTGCTGGGCGATATGACGATATATATCGTGCGGACGATAGAAAAGTGTCTATCATGCCATTTTGTCTTCTATCCTTTCTAACCTAATTTTATAAATTATTACATAAAATATATCATTAACCCTTTAAAACCGGAGCAGGCACACTCCTTTTGCCTAACTATTTTTAAATCCCTGTAGAACTGGAAACACGTAAGCTAGCGCAATAATTGTTCTTGCATATGAAACCGGAGTTGTACTTACATCTTATGCCATTAGCTTGTCCTAGGTCACGGTTTCCTTCCACATATAGCTTTGCAAAAATTGCATAAAAAGCATTTGCAGCAACAAAAACATAATATTCCAGAAACAGGCTTTGCCGATCCGATCAGTTGTTCATAACACTTCCTACATTGGAATACGTCAGCGCGAACTATCGCGTGTCAGCACCTGCCCGAAACCGGACGTGACATCATTTCGCGGAAATGTAGTTCTTTACCTTCAGGGCCTTATAAGCCTTTGCTGGTGTTTTTAAAAGTCATGTTTGACTTTATGCTTTTCTGTATTGTTTCTGGGATGCTTAGATCTCAAATTACACCGTTGTAAATAGTTTATTTTGATGCACATGCTGTTTTTTTTTTTGCAAATTTGCATTATAATATTTTTCATTTTTCCTGAAGTATATAAAAATGTGTGTATCTCAAAAATAAAACTATGAAGACACTAAAAATAAATTTCTTGTGGTTGGAAACTATTTTGTGCAACTTTTTTGTATTTACAGTTTTAAAGGAATAAGCCTCTTAAATTTCTCTAACTAGAAATATATGTAAAAAAAACCACAAACGATTTTAAATTTTTTTTGTAGTTTATTGCGCTTTTTTGCAATTTATGTAGTTACTATGGACTTAATGCATACATATTATTACAATTTGGGTTATAACGGTTGTATTGATGTATAGCAACTTGAAATTCTCCCACAAATGGCACTACAGCATTTAAAAATATAAAAATAAGCTCTGGCGGACTTGGTTCTATGGTAGGTCTTAAAGGGTTAAATAGCCTGTGGCAAATAAATTTGTGTCGTCTTCTCACTATACATGCTCTTAACTTTATGCAAGAAAAAATAAAGTATAAAAATTGATATTTTTCACAAAGAAACTCTTGTGGTTTTGCGACATGGTGCTGCTTTGCGTGCACCCGGATTTGCAACATGCTTTACGGTAACTCAAAACCATGGACGTGCGACAGGTTGCAGTTTCATGCCTGGACATGCAACAGGCAGAGACAGCTACACAGGCAGCCCAAGAAGAAGCACTTTTACCGAAAAGAGCGGGTACGTCTGTGATTTGGTTACATTTTGGGTTCAACAGCACCAACATGGAGCAGAAGATGCCCATTTGCAAGCTATGCTATAAAACTATTCCTGCACTCAGTGGCAACACAACAAATCTCTTCTATCACCTACAGAAGGTCCACGAAAAATAATACTCAAGAATGCAGAAAATCCGAGCTAAACCAAGTTGTGGAACGATGGGAGCAATTTGGGAAAATTGCTGTATCTTCAGCTATACTACCTGAAGATACAGCAGTCTTTCGCACAAGGCATGCCGTATGAAAAAACTTCCCAGCGCCATAAACAAATCACAGGAGCCATCTCACGTTACATTTATAAAGGCATCGCCTCTGTTTATGTAGTTGAGAAGGACAGCTTTCGTGACCTCGTCAAAGTTCTTGATCTGAGTTACGTTATGCCCGGTCGTAAGCACTTCAGTAAAGTCGAGTTGCCTTGCTTATATGATGCATGCCGGGCCAAAGTAGAGAAGGATGTTTGCAGTGTCGTGCATTATGCCTTGACAACTGACATATGGACGAGCAAAGATACGCACCCCAACATGAGTGTAACCATCCATTTCATTAACAAAGACTGGACCCTTTGCGCTCGCTGTTTACAGACTGCGTACTCTATAGATGACCACAGGTCAGGTGGTATATCGTGATATTTATCGTTATCGTGATATAAAATAATTCATATCGTGATAAATATTTTTTCCATATCGCCCAGCACTAGCACAAATACTATGGTGTCTTTGCTTCTCAGATGGCTCAACAGTGACCTTTCATGCAGTTTTGGTTCAGTATTTCAATTCTTCATCAATATTTCAATCCAAACCAGATCAGTTAGGAACTACTGCCTACCTACTAGTATGACATGGTCCACAGTGCATGCTCGAAATGACCTGTGTTGAGCTTTCCACCCACACAACCTACTAAAGAAATCAAACTCCTGTCATGTTGTCATAGGTCTTAGGGGATTCAAGCTGAAATTTAATCCCAAAATAAGGGATGTGGTTTGGGTCTGAATGCAGATTAGTAAGACCACAAAGCACAAAAACAGATGAGATGATGAGAAGGATGCTGGACAGATGCACTCACAGCCATTCTGTTCATTTCCTCCAGTTCAGTCGCACTGGAGGAAAGACACTTCAATTCTTATAGGTATAAGCTCTAGTCTCAATCTGGCCCAAACCAAATAAACCACATGTTTCACTGGTAACAAAGTGCATGACTGACAGTATAGTGGCATTTCTGAACAGTTTTTGGTAATACTGTGGGTATAGTGCACAATAAAATAAACTGCCTGCATAACTACAATGCAAGATATAAAGTGCAAAATTATTAGTCTAGAATATATAAAATATAAATGTGTGCCCAAACCCTAAATAATTAACACATGTATATGACTAATCCTCTGGTATAATAAAAATTACAATTAGTCGCTATTTAAAACAGAGTAACACCACACACTGAAAGTGTGAAAACGTGAACAGTTATTGAAAACCTGTCATGAATGTCAGTATCTGCAAGGTGACAATGAGGTAATGAGCATTTGATGTTAATATCTGCGTTATCCCAGAGGCAAGCCAGTCAAAATTGCACCTGCACACTGAGCAGCACATTTTTGTGATATGAGGCTGGCATCACAGCCCAGTTGTTTTAAGCATTCTCTGTTTTTCCTACACTCACCAAAAAAACAAAAGAAAACCCTTAAGCCTGAAGCCTGACCTTAAAATGGGAAAATCTCATTAACCATTCTGTTATCCTTTTGTGATTGCCACGGTATCCTTTTTGACAGTTTCACATTTTTAATACGACCATATCATTTTGTTTTCTGCATGTTTTTTCCCCTTTTACTACACACACATTCCACTTTATTACGAACTATTTTCCAAGGCATCTCAATTTTTCCAGATAATCACCTGACTTTCCGTATATTACGGTGACTGTCAGTCACAGAAAATCTTCATTTAGTTTAGACAACTTTCTGACTCAGATGTTCAGCAGCTATGTGGATGCCTTCAGGTTGTGAATGACAGTTTAAAAATAACTCAGGAACTGTATTACTGAAGGCTTTTATTGTTGCTGTGTAATGAAGACGTAGACAGATTTACATGTGTTTTCACCACAATGTCAGTGCATTAATTCGACTATATGACCAACACAGGCACACACTCTGGTTATCAAATAATAACAAAATATGGGGAGGATAACGTCTAATTTATTACTTTTCCAATGCAAATGTATAACCCATAGGTTTTTATATTTTTTAAATTTGTCATCAACTACAGTACAGTACGAAAATAAGGTACAGTGTTTAGAAATGGTCAACTGTGATATAAAATATATTTCCGGTGTAGCTAATGGAAAAAACATGTGAACACAGAAAACAAAAGGAAAAAAAAAAAAAAAAGAAGATATGGTCCTTTAAGCTACTGTCTTAATTTTGTTGTGCTCGCCTACTGTTATTACTGTAAATCCAGACATTCGTTTAAATTACTTTCATTACTGTGCAAACATTTCAAGACAGTGCATACAGGATCACTCTGACAACTCATGATACATAAAATTCAACTCACCGTCTGCAAACATAAGAAAGCAGTAAGAAATGAAAAAGAGCAAAAACAAGCAAAATAGACAAAGGATTCATGACAGCATGACAATTTGCTAGTGCTACTGCTTCGTGAACTAAAACAGCAAATTCTAAATGTAGCACAATTACATTTCTACGTACACACACACTATTTAGCTACTAGTCGTTTTCAACAAACAGAAATGGGGTGATCTACATATGAACATCAAAATGAAAAGCAGACTGTGATGGCTACATAACTGACAACACAGTATTTTTTTTTTTTTAAACACAAATGGACCAGTGTACTTTTTACAAAAACAAAACAAATATCAAGATAGCAAGGTACAAACCAATTTTAGCTGCTTAATTTTTAAGTCCATGTGCTTTGAAATCCTAGCACACTTACTACGTGATAAAAGCGCAACAGTGGATTTAAGATGGGGGCTTACCTTTAAGGGCAATAACTTTGCTAGCAGGGTTCATGATGGCGCTGTCGGCAGAGATGGGGCGACGGATGGGGTTGTTGGGATCAGCCAAATCAATGATGACAACCTGAGCCTGTTCACCAACCTTCTCTCGTACACAGATGAACTTGTCAGACTCCATTGTAAGCGTGCTAAATCCAATGTTGGCTGGGTTGATCCCCAAGTTCTGGAGCTGGCGATGAAGAGAAGACCTGTTTTAATGGCAGCCATTGGCACACAGTACAATATCGAAGACAAAATTTCCTTTGGCAGGATTTTTCCTTAACCAAAAAGGTTCTGAACTTTCATCAAAGCAATATCACCAATATGTGCTACTCAATCATAAAATGTATTTTTCCAATGTCCAGAAATAACAAAATTGTACAGACCTCTGTTAAAGAAGCTAACACATATTACTATGATTATATAGTAGCTAACAGGGCTTCCTAACACAAAGGCCCACTCTAAGGCCCAGTTTGTTTACTTATATCAGCAAATATGATCATATCTACTAACAGCGGTCATCTATGTTTATGCTGGATACATTTCAAAGACACTTTGATAAAATACTCAACATTTATGACAAAGCGGTTGGTAATATTCTAGAGTTTGATATTATGTATGCAGATGATCTTGTGGTCATAGTGCTAGTAGTGCTGATCTCCAGCAGCTCATACACATATGTTCTGCCAATGCTGTAGAAAATAACATTACATGCAATCCCCGTAAGTGACCTGTAATGATTTGCAGAACTGAGGAGGACAAAGATTTCCAGAGTTGAAACTTGATAACAATCTTACTGTCGGTAGTAAGGTCGAATATCTTGCTCATCTTATTACAGATCAAATGACAGGTAATGATAATATCTGTAGGAAATGTTGACTGATGTATTCACAAGTTAATTTCCTCTTATGCAAATGTATGTACAAAGGAAAGGAAAGTGAGTTCACGAAAACCTAATGTAGCTTTAAAAAGATGCTATGATGTTATTATTGAAGAGACAGACAACTCAAGCAAGGTGTTTATAATTACTCGTTTCAGTAGATTGAAAGCTTTATTAAAAATATTGTGAATTAATTTATCTGCAGGCTCAATGCTTCTGAGAATGTGGGCTTAACACACTGATAACATGGAACTGTATGTTATCTGTCTTTATTGTTCAGACACTGGTATAGTTATGGGAAGTTGAATTTAGTTTTTAATCTCTTTGTGTTTTTTGATATGCTTTGTTTATATGAAATACGTATCTGAGATAAACAAAGACTGAAGAAATTTTTTTTTTTTTAATTAAAAAAAAAACAAAAAAAACCAAAAACAAATTATGCAACCCAGTATCACAGCAAAACGTGTAACAGACATGTTGGTCTACCATGTTCATTTCACGCATTGCCCGTCCAAAACGTGAAATGGACACGCATGCAGAAATTGCATTACCAGCAGGGGGAGATAATAATATTGTAGTAATGCAACATACTACACAGGGCAAATTGTTTGTTTATATATATTTTTTGGCCCAGAAATGCATAGCTGGTGCATCTCCAGTACATTCTTCACTGTAAAAAGCCAATGATGTCAAGTATGCTTATTTCAATTGTGCCTTTAGTTAACAAAAAATACCTGAAGCTTGGCAAAAGGTCATCCAAGGGTCACAGTATAAACAAAATCTCCACAGGGGTTCAAGCTTTGATTTATGGTTGGGAACCTTGGGTATATCCAATACAGCCAGAAGCTGGGATGTACCAGATGACTGACTGATATGAATGTGGACAGCAGAACAAAATCGTATTCTTTTGGCAGACTGAATGGACCACCTGGTTCACTTCAGATAACGCGATGAATGGGTTACATTTCAGTCAGAAAAACCCTAAAGAATAACCCGACTCTCCCTTCAGCAGTAAAAAATGGCCTGTCGTGACATAACGTTTCTCTATGACGTGAAGCAGCTCTGAGTCTAGTCAGACTGCAACTGACCACGGTTTCACGGCTCATAACTTAAATGGGCACATGACAATAACAAAGCATGCTTTAAACAGCTATACTATGCGTTCATGTTATGCAGGTCAGCGATTGGAATGTTTCGCCTCACAAGGTCCAAACGTTAATTCGATATTGAAATAACGCTGAACAGACCAAAACGTGGCCGTGCATCAGTCATACGCTACAACCCAATAAATAGTCACTCAAGGTCAGAAAAGGTGATTGTCGTTAACTAGTTTCGCCTCCTGGCCGCGAGTGACAGCATCAGTACAATGAATGAGGAGCTAGCATGAGAGGCTAGTTATTAGCTGCTGGCTAAACGGGGGATGGGAGGTCATTCATTTGCTGCGGTTATTGACGTTTAACGCTAGCTGAACTAGAAAGCTGTCAAAACGACCGTTAAGCCGGAAAATGAAGGGATCAAAGAGAATGTAAGGAAACGATATAGCTACTAGATTCGACCACTTTACCTGCAGGTGCTCCTGGAAGCGGATAGGCAGGATTTGAGCCATGGTTGTTTCCTTGAGCTTCTCCGGAGTCCTGAAATTCTGGTCGTACAGCTAGCTAGGCAGCAGCAGCACCGCGCTAGCTACGACCTCCTCACCGAATGTGTAGGTCGGAGCCAGTCGGTGAAAACGATAGCACTGTTTTAAAATAGGCAAGATGCTGTGGGTAATCGTGTTTCCGAAGTGAGATATCAGTGGAAAAATGTTAAATATGCCCCCCCCTTCTGTGTATGCTTTCTGCACTGCATCGATGGATAGCAGTGGCTATGGCTGATCTTCTGTCCAAAATCCGCAATGGCGGCGGAAACGGCTCACAGCCTTCCCAGTCCGGAAGCATCTAGGGATCCCTGGAAGGGCACTGGCTCTGGCCCTGAACGTATGGACAAGAAGTTCACCCCAATTTAACTAAGAAATAATATGAAAAATGTTTCTACTCGATAAAGTTGCATACATTGTAATTTTGTATAAAAATAAACTAGTTTTTTGGACATGTACGTCAGTTCCGTAAATAATAATGGTATTTTATCAAATCTGACAGCATATACGTAAAAATTTAACCCTTCAGACGTTATTAGAATAAAAAATAAATAAAATACACAATTTTAAAAAGTACACAACCCTTATGTGGAAAATATTTCAGATGCCGATTTTTGTTTTACTACTGTCCAAGATCTATGTTCAGATTTTGATTGGGAGTAAGCAGAATTACAAATCAGTATATCAGAGACACAGCTCAGGTTCAGCGCTTTGGAGACAGAAATCAGAGATGCAAGGCTGACATGGTTTGGACATGTGGAGAAGTGGGATAGTGGATATACTGGAGAAAGGATATTGAATATCGAGCTTCCAGGCAGGAGGAAAAGAGGAAGACCACAGAGAAGGTTTGTGGATGTAGTGATGGAGGACATACAGACTGATGGGGTAACATAAGAGGATGCTAGATATAGGGCGAGATGGAGGATGATGATCTGTCATGAGGAACCCTAAAAGGGAGCAGCCAAAAGAAGACTGACAATTTCCCAAGTTCTAAGTAAACATTTTTATGCATAAATAGTTTAGGATTTTAAATATAGCAAAATGTGTGCAGCAGAGCCCACACTCCATAAAATTCAAATACAATAGAAAAGATGAGTCCAGACAAAGTGATGCGTTTCAAGAAGCAACTGTATTCGACTATAAAGGCATTTCTAATCCAGTGTCTCTAAGCTGTTTTCTTTATATTTCAGTGTAAAAAGCCTAGACTCTAGAAAAAAGAAAGTAAACAAAAAACAACAAAACATTTCATTAGAAAACAAATCATTGAAAAAAAAAAGATAATGAAATTCCCATTCACCAGTCATTTCAATTAAAATAGAAACACCTTTTTTGCTAACATTTCCCTCAAAACAAATATATATTTTCCATATATATATATATTTATATATTTATTCTCAAGGCAGTTGGTCATGGCCAAATTAATTGACCTCATCATGGCCATTTTTCATGTTTCAAAATTAGAAAACGGATCTAGAAGGGAAAAAACACAACAAAACAAAGAAAAAAAATATAACAACAAGCGGAAGCACAGTGGACAGCAGGAGCGCCACACTGGCCAATGAATAAGGTCTCATTTTAAGTGAGAGGGAATAGTCTATCAAGGCGGTGTGGCACACGCACACACACACACATCCTCTGGAACAAGTGCAATGCAAAGAGAATAAGTTTCTCACATCATAAAACTACAACATACTCCTCTTTCACAGCACTCTGGTTGAACACTTCCCTTTGCTTGTCTCCTCTTCCTCTAGTATCTCTGTGCAGCAGGAGTGTGAAGGCTTTCGTTGTGCCGCTTTAGTTCTTAGTCTTTGGCGGGAGCTTAAAGTCCACTTGACTGAGATATGCTGCAGTATTAAAGAAGGTGGCTTCACTGTTTCGTTTGATTTTTTTCCCCTCTCCACATCCAGCTGCCACACAGACTAGCAGAAGTCTCAATATTTTCATGGCAACTGAGAAAAGGAGAAAATGATCCCAGCATGCCAGCCTCTTTCTATTACAGTAAAAAATATGACTAATACAGTGTGCCTGAATACTGACGACTTCTCTACCAGGAAAAATGGTGCATCTGATAGCAGAAGGAGAGGACACAAGCAGCAGGGGTTCTGCAACAAAGAGGGGTTAGAGATGGCAAACTTGCAAGAGCAACTCTGGCGGTAGTTAAGTGCTCTGAAATGATTCAGATGAACGGGACACAAAAAGGGCACGACGGGACGGCTGAGCGGGAAGAGATGGTACAGATGGGGACATCACCGCTGCAATAAAAGCAAGTGATGGTTAAAAAGTGCCAAATGGCGACTTGAGGAGGTTCCCTGGGTTATCATTAAGATGAAGTGAATATGGATGTTGTACAGTAAGCACATATGCTCATGTGTTTGTGTAAGAGAGAGAGAAGAGAAAATGTGTAGACGATAAAGAGAAATCCCTGGGCTACATGAGAGGGTGACGTGGAGGAAAGGCCTCAGCGGACCTCGATCAGCTCCACCCATCGCATCCCTCTGTTACACCTGACGCTCAGCAGAACTATGTGCTTCTCTTCTGAAGCTCCTGAATAAAGGCTGTGAAAGCAAAGAGAAACACACAGTAAGTACACAAAGTAGCTGATACTGGAGCAAAATTAAAGTTTTTTTTCAAAGTGTAATCTAACCTCCAATAATTTCCTCTTTGACTTTTTGTAGTTCTTTCCGCACTTCCTCCAAGATCTCCTGCAGAAAAATAGGACAAACCGTTAGCCATGGCAATACATTTGTGATTTAGGAAAAAAAAAAAAGTTTATTTGCAGTAACCAGGTGACATGTGAAATCTCCATATACATACAACATATATTTTTCTGACTTGTGGCAGAACACAATGCATTGGTGTTGACCAGAAAAATTTAGGTTTCTCTAAACCTCTGTCAGGATTAAGACCTTTTCATGCATGAAACCTATAACATTGTTGGCTTTATCAACTGGACTGAATTCTGTCATTTAGGCATGGGTTATTTTTATGGAAATCTGCAAACACAATGACGATCCACATTACCTGCAGTTTGCTTGCAAGATTTAACAGTACAACAGTGACATAATGCATGAGGTCAGACTGTCTTTTTGCATGGCAGCTTTATTTTGATAGATGCTTTGATAACTAAAGAGGCCACTTCCTATGTGTAGCTATGGGAACAAAACATCCCACACATCAGATTAGAAATAACAGGAGCTTGTGAAGTATGATTATATACACCACATCTGTGATAAGATCCGGACTGCTCCTGTCCCAAGCTGGGAATGTAATTATTGTCAGTAGTTAATATTATTGCTGTTGTGCCAGCTGCATAAACGCACACCAACCTGTTTGTGACACACTCAACAACACACTCCTGGAAACAGCTGGAAGCTACAAACTACCTTCATTTCAACAGTCTGAGACTGCCATTGTCAAACTGTTGTCAAAAAGTGACCTCAAGCCAGCATATTCAGATGGAGCCAGATTCATGCAAAACAAAACGAGTATCAGAAGCTTTAGAGAAATCAGCTTTCTCATTTACATAACAAAAATTCAGATCCAAACATTCAAGTGTGGCTGTTTTGGCCAAGAACTGACGATCGCTGGGTCGATGAGCATATTTACCTGTTTCATTTTCTCTAAATCTGAGTCATCGGCTCCACTTGCTTCATTATTATTGCTTGCAGCCTTTGCCCTGTAACAAAACATGAAACAGACATGCAAATATTTTATGTTTATCTTTCCACAAAACAGGTGCAACATATTCATCAAATGCATTGCCACAGTATAGAGCAAATGAAGAACCAGTGAATCGAAGAATGCAGAAATGAAATGAAGGTTAACCTATGTAAACTCATTAACCTACCTTTCTGAAGCTGAAGGATGCTGACGAGCTATAAATTAATGCCTGATATTAACTGATCTAGCTAGCACAGGTTTAAGAGTAGTGTATGGCTCTGTTAGGACCTTTTACCACAAAAACTACGTGTATGTTCTTGAACTACAACATAGAGACAAACAAAGCCATCAAAGATGTCAGAGAGGACAGAGCCAACCCCAGCTGAGAGAAGTGACTTGAAAATAAGCATGAATCATAGACCCAGGCTCCCATCTTATTAGTCAGTTTTCAGAGACGGCACACTCAGCTGCTACATCTACGGGTAGCTTGGGTGCACGCCATTCTCCCATCCATTAGATGGTGCTATCAACTGTAAAATATGCTACCCCAGCATGAAGATTTGAGAGGGAAGAATAAAGGAAGGGGTGCTAAAGGTCATGAATTAATGGGGCACATGTATACCTGGGAACTTGGGACAATGAGGAAGTGGAGTCCATGCTCTTGGGGATGGAGTTATTCCTGTTAGTGAGACACACACACACACACTCTCGCTCTTAAAATGAAAATGGACGACATTCGCACACACGCACAAAAAACTCACGTTTGTGCAAAGACGCAGGGGTGGACACAAAAACGTGCGCACACTGGTGAACAGGGTGAACCGACACATGGGACACCTGGAGGTGACAGATTTACTGCAGGGAAATAACTGCGTCTTGGCTCACCTGATCATAGAAGGTTTCTCCCAAGGTCTTCTGACGGCGTCTGAAAAAGAAAATGTATGAAAACACGAGTTGTTAATCTTCACTCATATCAGTATATCAGAATGAACGTAGGTGGCATGCTACAGACAAAACTGTTCAGTTCTCACCACTTTGACTTGGAGACTCTGACTCATCCTGTGGAGAGGAGGGAAGAAAAAACATGGAGACTTCTCTTAACAGTGAGTCATCCTCAGCCTTGAGTGGTTGGTTACATGTAAAAACACTCTACATTTGTCTGGTGTTACATAAAGGGAACCGATTATGCTTCTCATTACTTTCTGGCATGTCTATATTGTTATGTTACAATGATACTGGTGTCAAATGATGACATCTTATCTGTAAGTGTGAGTTGAAAACTCAGGCTTCAACCGTTTATTCTACTCTTGGCAATGTTTAATAACCTGCCAACGTGAGCACAGAAACCTATGGAAGCCCGTTTCCGCCACTAAAAAAAAAAAAAAAAAAGGATCCATAACTCAAAATTTCGAGTTATTTTCTCGAAATTTCGAGTTATTTTCTCAAAATTTCGAGTTATTATCTCGAAATTTCGACATATTAACTCAAAATTTTGAGAAAAGCAACTCGAAATTTTGAGTTAGCGCTGCCAATCAGTAATCTACGTGAATGACGTCATTTCCATGTTACCCGGAAGCTGAAGCCCTCAGCTACAAATGCTACAGCTAAGCTACCGGTATTACATCCAGTCATGAATG